AACCGCTGTACTTGTCATTCCAATGGCCGACACTCTTACGCATATTGTATGTTAGGTGATTGCCGGGTTGTGGGTTCTGTCAATTCTCGGTAGCTGCTGCAACTTCGTGACCCTGTTCTATATTGGTAATAAACCTTTCAACGATTATCATTGCTTCTCATCAAGAAAACCCAACTGTCACATGGTGTGATAACTACTAGCCTTTTGTTTCTTTCAGCAACTGTCCTCCTTTTCACCATTCCTGTGCTCTATGAGAAGTATGAAGACAAAGTAGACGCCTTTGGCGAAAAAGCTATGAAGGAGATCAAAAAGCAATATGAGGTGTTGGATGAGAAGGTGTTGAGCAAGATCATGAGCAAGATCCCTAGGGGGGCCCTTAGCAAGAAGAAGGATTAGAATCGTAAGTTTTCCCTCTCATCAGTCTCCCGGCGGTAGTGTTGTTTTGACTCTTGAGGAAGCTTTTGGTTAAGAACCCCCTTTTTTTTGTCTGCTAGCTCTTTTCTATGTCGGCTTTCATCGTTTTTTTGGCCAAATTCTGTAGCCATATATGGATCGCATGAATTTTGTTGCATCATAGTTGATTGATGTTTCTGCATGTCGATATGATTGCTCTCTTCCTCTTTGTTGTGCCAATCCCCATAATTTTTTGTCGGCCGGTTACCTGTAGTTGTGGCTAACCCAAGTTGAGGGGAAAGGGGGAGAAATGGTAAGGCCGAGGGGAGAGAGAGGGCACTGGTGAGGGCGAGAGATGGTGATGAGGCGAGGGGCGAGGTTTCAGTCTCTTTGCGAGGCTCGCGATGGATGATGTTGTCTCACCGTGCACATCATTCGCTTCTCGCCTCGCCAGTCTCCTGCCGATCCTCCCCTCTGCCATGACTCTCCTTGCCACTCATCGTTTCTCTTCCCGTTAGGCCATTGAGACTTTGTCAGCCGGATGTCTGTGGTATTCGAACATTTCTTTGGATCCCTAAGTACCGGAAGCTCGGGTATCTGGGTCAAGACAGGGTACTCTGTGCCCACCCCCCTAGTTTTCTGATGAGAAAGAGAAGTAGGTTTTGGTTTAGTCTGATTCTAGAAGAGTTTACGGGTTTCAATCTCATATCGTTTTATATCTTTGGGTTATGATTGTGGAGTCATTTTCGATCCATCTGTTTTGATTGTCATGTCTTTGCCAAATTTAGAATATAGACAATCGCATTTTGCAGATTTACCGACAGGCGGATGAAAGACTTGGTATTTTGAATCTGTCAAATCATGGTTTATATATGCGACCCCATGCTGTAAAAATCATGTATTTATGGAAAAAATAATTCCGCACAAAAATACCCGTCATATTACTGTTTTTTTTTTGGTATTTTGCATAGTAGTCAAATTTTGCTTTTTCAATAATTTTAAATTTTTTATGTGGCGGTCGCTTAGCGATAATATGGGAATTATGTCATTTTTCTCCCCAAGAATTTACAGATGCAAGTGTTTTGAATTTTATATTTTTATCAGCAATTTTTTGAGAGTTTCATGTTTATGTTTATGGAGATTTAGCTTACGAGTCATTGTGTAAACTGTAAAGTGAACGATTAGAGAATTTTTTTTAATTGGATTTTGCATCTTTGCCCAAATCGAAGTGTTTGACGCGCTCGTTTTGCGCGTTGATGCAACGCGCTCCATTTCTCCGGACTCTATATATATATAGTCCAGAGAAATCGGCTGAATTTCGCTAAACCTGGAACTCTGCTCATCTTCCGCGCGTGGGATTTGTTCTTTTAATCAAAACATTACACTCTCTTTTATCTTTTCTTTTCTGGGTTATACAATTTTTAAAAATAAGAATAAATAAATAATTTCAGATTATTATTCGGGTATTACACACTCTTTTAGCATTGTTTTTTTATAAATAGTTTGGTGACGAATTATTTCAATATTAATAAAAAAATAAAAAAACACATATATACCCACATGCATATATATATATATATAAATTTTTCTTTTTTATTGTTGATGTAATAATCTTTAATATCACAATAACACAAATTACGTTACAAAAACGTTAAAAGTTAATAATATTAAACTTCGTATAAAAATTAGAAAAAGATTACAAATTACTATTTTTTTAAAAGAAGTTGCATAGCTCTGTTTTTTTAATATATGTGTATACATGTAATTTTTTATTATTTTAATTATTTAATATTATTAAATCATAATTAACTAACGTGTCAAATAAGTAGTTGTAAATTTTTATGTTTAGAGATTTATTTGTCAATTAAGATATTTCATGTGAACGGTACGTGATCATACTGTCATTTTGGTATTATGATCACATTTAGAAAATGGTATGTGTAAAAATAGTTGTAGCAATACGAAAGATATTTTGGATAATACTCCCTCCCTTTATAAAATATACTGGCCATACCTTCTCTGACAAGAAAATTTCCAGCAAATATACTGTAATCGTAGTTCTTCGGTATGAAACACGTTACATTATTACATCTCTACAGTTTGTCAGGAATTGCACGATGAAACATATGAAGATGTATCACATATTCAACACCCAGATTACAAGAATAAATTAAAACAAAACCCTGAAAACTCAAATCTCTGGATCTGACATTAGCCCTTGAAAAGCCGCAAACGAGGCCGAGAACTCTTCGATCTAACTTCCGCAAGCTTAGTCTTCAACGTGTTGTCTTTTTCTCCTTTCGCCGCCGTCGGCTCGGAGACATGGAGATGAGGTGACATAGTTCTGGACGGCCATTGGCGAACTGGGCTTGCTTGTCTCCGAGACGGGTAGCTGCATGATCCTTCTCCATTCTCGCAGCTTTCAGACAACAACCTCTGATGTGTTCTGCTCATCGCCCCGTTCGTGTTAATGTTCTTGTCGCCTCTGATTTTGCAGTCCTCAGGCTCTATTTTCGCTTCTTCTTTCCCCGCTCGAGTTTTCTTCTTTCCGTCCCACGCCATTTCCGCTTCAAACTTCGCTTGTAAATTCGACGGGCTTTGACTCTGCTGTCCTTTCAGCTTTTCAACAGATTCAGCTTCTATGTTTGGCTGGTTCGGTTTCTCAGCCTCGTCTATGGGAGAAATCACAACAACCTCATTCCCCGATTTCTTCAGCTCG